GGTTTTTTAAATTTTAAAAATAGTAAAATTCAACAAAACAAAACAGAACAAAGCCAAGACAATGCACTGAAATTGATACAGAACTTTACAGCAGGATACCGGGATAACAGTATTAGGTACCATAGTGTTTCTTGTTATCTTCACAATAGTTGTCCATTCCATCAGGTTCAGCAAACTCAAACCAAAAACAGAACACTATAAAACCAATCAAGCCAGAGGTTTAGCTCAGCAGTACAAGCACCTGCCAGGCAAGTGCCAGGTCATGAGTTTTATCCAGATACCAAAACAACAACAAAAAAACAACCAATCAAAACAGAATATTGAATAAAGCAAAACAATTAATCAGAACAAAGCAAAACAGTGAAAACAATATTGCCCTTCAAAGGCAAGATAGAAGGAAATCTCTCATATTTGCTATATTGCCTACTGTAATCCTGCCAAGAGGCTCAGACCTCTGGTCCCAGGTCAGCATAATCAACCAAACACGTGCATTTAGGTTTTTTTTTTTTTTTTTTTTTTTTTTTTTTGTCTTTGAGACAGGGTCTCTCTATGCCTTGAGCTCACTTTGCAGCCCAAGCTGGTTTTGAACTCACAATGATCCTCCTGCCTCAGCCTCTCCGGAGTGCTGAGATTACAGGTGTGAGCCATCATGCCCGGCTGTATTTAGTTGCTTTATGTACCTCAGTTATGATTAACTCAAACTGTCCTCAGAACCATCCAGCTGCTAAGGGGGTCGGGGTGGGGATGGATGGTGTTTGATTCTCAGTCCGAGCACTAGTAGGCTCATTCCAGGTGCTGTCTTTTCTTTCCAGTACATGGCTTGCACAGCTGACCATGAATGCTGGCTGGTTGATTTCTTGGTTGGTCCCCCAAGTCCTCCAGCATGATGAATTCTCAGGAGACCATGACTTTTCTCTACCTGGAGCACACATGGCTCGCGCAACTTATTGGGAAGGCTGGCTGCTCAAAGTGATGGTCTTTAACATGGCGAACAATGGTTACTATATGCTGTGCAAATGATTCTGAGGGGCTATGCTGAGACTGACCTGATTGTATGTTCTGAAAAATGAAATGTAATTCTTGTTCCTTTTTGTTGTTATGGACTAGATCCTGACAATGCTTATAGTCAATAAGCCACTAGGTCATGAGAGGTCCTTACCAAACAGTCCATCCAGACATCGACCTGAGCCTTTCGAGTAGTGGAAAATGAAAACTTTCCTGAGGAAAAGTCTCCTTTGACTTTCAGAGGTCTTCCTGGGGGAAAGTAATAAACTTTTCTCTTGGAAACTCAGTAACTCTTCTCAGGCACAAATCCCTGGTGCCTGCTTTCTTGGTCCCTTGGTCATTATTTTTGGAGCTCTCTGTGAAAGGCTCCTCCTACAGATTCTCTTTTGTTGTACCCTCCCAAAAAACAAGCCCTGTGATGTTGTCTGTTGTGGGGTGGGGGGGCAAGATGTCTGTAAAAGAGCGCTTTTATTTTAGCTGGTACCCAGTGGCACAGAACAGATGGAATTTGCAAAGCTGTGCAACTGAGTCAGAATTTTGACAGATTTTTATAGCACATTAACTGAGTGATGTGACAGAGCAGGAATTAGGGAGGCCTTTGTTTCCCTTTGCTTGAGGTCAGAGACGTTTTGTAGTTGGTGGTTAGCCCTTTTTTTTTTTGAGTTACAGCCCTTGGTCTGCTAATTCTAGGAACATTTGTTTCTCACAAAGCGAACAAAGGTTGACACAGCATCATTTGTCTCTCACAAAAGGAACAATGGTTGACACAGCAAACAGGTTACTAAGGTAATGATGCATACAGAACAGTATGGTGACGCCTCAGTTAATTTATAACAAATTTATAACAATGTGGTGGTGCTCCAGGTACATGGTTACTAGGGCGATAAGCATAGATCACAACATCTATCTTCTGCTTTTCTTTCCTTGTATACACCACATCCTCTTACTTGCCCGATTTCTCTTCCTCCTGATTTGTTTACACTGGCTACGATCCTAGACATAAATTTGGTTTCATCATCAAACTTAAGATTCTATCCTTCCTTTAGTTCTGTTCTTATCTTGATCATCCATCTCCTCCTTGTGGAAGTCTGCCATTTTCTTATAATCATATGGCTTGTGTTAGGATGTCCCTCCAAAGAACCATATGATCGTAGGTGGGGCTTTTCAGAGGTGGACGCATCAGGCTATGTAATGCTGGGATCAAGAATGTGATGCTGGGATTGATTCATGATACAATCTAAAAAATTTAATAGAATTAGACATAAGCAGTTCATATTATATAGAACCCATCTCTTGGGAGGATGACCCTCTGCAATATAGCAAACAGGGAGGATTTCCTTCTATCTTTTGTTTGAAGGCAAATGCTGTTTTCACTGTTCTGTTTTGTTTGTTTTGCTCTAGTCAATACTCTCTTTCAATTGGTTTTATAATGTTCTGTTTTTGGTTTGATTTCGCTATACCTAATTGACTGGACAACTATTATGAAGATAATGAGATATATTGTAGTACCTATTACTACTATCCCAGTATCCTGCTGTGAAGTTCTGTACCAATTTCACAGCATTGTCTCGATTGGCTTTGTTCTGTCTTGTTCTGTTGTATTTTTATTACCTTCAAAATAAAAAAAATAAAAAAAATAAAGAGAAGAATATAAGGGACAGAAGGGGCTGCTGCTGTGGCTTGTCACCTGTCGCTTGTCTCTTATTGCAGCTGCTGTTGCTTGTGTTCTGCTCTTTGATGCTCCTCCAGCATGCCACCTTACTGTGGAGCCAGCCAACTACGGACTGAAACCTTTGCAAACTGTAAGCCAAATAAATCTCTTCTTTAATTTTGGGTGTCAGGCATTTTGCCTCAGCAACGAGAAAACTAAGAGAGGGACTGACTGCCCCTAAGGGCATCTCATTGTCAGTGTCGGAAGCAAAAGAACCCATTTAATTTTCTCCTTTCCTTTCTCTTTATCAGGATTTGTTTCTACTCTTTATCTTTCCCATTCTCTGTCTTCTGCTTTTCTAGATATCTCTTTGTATAGGCTGTTCCTCCTGAGCATAACACATATAAACCTGGACAATGGCTAATGGTTTCCTTGATCAGAATAATACTGATAAAAAGGGAGGACATTAAAGGCCAGGCACTGGAGGTTTCAGTTGGTCCAGGACTCATTAGCAGAAAATGTAACGTGGGAATGGTAAAAAATGAATATGTCAAATTAAAATCTTTTTCTTTTTTTAATACCAGGAATGAAACTCAAGGCCTCATGCTTGCCAGGTAGGCACTGTGAAAGTATCAAATTAAATGGACTCTATATATAATATGAACTGCTTATCTCTAATTCTATTACATTTTTTAGTAAACTCAATTACCAAGGTAGATTCTCCAAATTTTTTTTTCTTTCTTTCTTTCTTTTTTTTTGGTCTTTTTCATTTCTATCGGTACCGGGGATCGAACTCACGACCGCCTGCTTGCAAGGCAGGTACTTATTGCCGCTGAGCTAAATCCCCAGCCCGGATTCTCCAAATTTTGAAATGCATCTTTTAAATAAGTTAGTTTTACAGATATCTGAAGAAATATCACAATACAGTAATAAAGCTCATAAGTATTTCATTTCTATTACTCATTTTGCAAATCAAGAAAAATTTTATATTATTCAATTTCTCAGAGTATCTTCCTGGCTTGATTGAAGGTTTGAGAAGATAAATCAGAGGTTAATCTAGAAGTCACTGATCCAAGAAAGAAAAAAATATCAAGTTCTTACTGTTTTGTTTCTATTGCCTTTAAAATAAAAAGCTAGAAAAACCAGGAAACATCTTACTTAATACCTCCTGAAAGTCCTCATAAATTGATATTGTGTTGAAAATAAATTTGCCAATTTCACATACCTCTAATGTGAAGGCAAAAATGCATTCCAGAGCCAACTGTTCTTTTAAAAAAAATGTATTAGTACATGTTTGTAGTACAAGCATTTTACAATCTTCTTGGGGAGTTGGTACATGTATAAAATACAACTTGGTTCCCTCTTTTTAATCCACCCCTTCGATAGCTACATGTTTAAAAGTTGAATTTAAGTAGGCCCCACCTGTAATCTCTGCAGGCAGAAAAGGCAGCCCTCACCTGTAATCCCTGCAGTCAGAAGAGGCAGAAGGATCACAGTGAGTTAAGGCCAGCCTAAGCTACAGAGAGAAACTCTGTCTCAAAAAAAAAAAAAAAAAAAAAAAATTAAATTTCAAAAATTCATCACCACCTACCTATTGATGCTAGAATAGTATCATTTTTTTCTCTTTAAGGTAGATTTCAAGCTTGTAAGAGTTAGCCTGAATGCCTATACTTGCACAAGTGAAACAGCATTTTCCCTTTCTATGACTTGAGTCACACTAGAGCCACAACATTTTAGTTAAAAATTACAGGTTTATTTTCATATTTTGAAAAAGACAATACAAAACCAGGCATATCAATATTTCTAATGTGGTAGAACACATGATATATAATACTGTATATATCATGTAATACCTACAGGAAATCAAATGAGAAAAAAAGCTGGGCATGAAAAGATGATGAAATACAACTAAAGCTTTTTTGCCAAGTGTGTACTGTTCAAGATACTTCTCTTTTGGATCTCACTTGTAAAAGTTAGTGCTGTAGGAGCTGGGGATTTAGCTCAGCGGCATAAGCGCCAGCCTTAAAAGCAGGCAGTCATGAGTTCCATCCCTGGTACCGATAAAAAGGAAAAAGACCAAAAAAAAAAAAAAAAAAAAAGAGTTACTGCTGTAGGCTTCAAAACACAATCCCTATTGTTTTAACAGGGCATTTTTTGGTACTGATTCTGCTTCCTTAAGAATACCTACTTTACTCATCTGAAGTCTTCTTGCTAAGGAGTATGGTGAACAAGGTGCACCGGTGTGTTATAGCAAATGCAACAGTAAAAAACTATTAGTGCACACATTTTAGGGCAAAAGAGAATCCCAGCACTGAAAATAAAATAAAGCAAGAGTAGTTATAACTGTGATACAAATGAATACATCTTTATTACAAAACACCAAAACAACACCCAGGATTTGGAGGTAGATCTATTTACATCAAGGGGCACTGATCAAGCATTCCCAGAATATCAGGTCCTGATGTCTGGTGGTCTGGGGCTTATATGGGATAAGTAAACAGGAAGTACAGTGGCAGAATGGCTTGTCAGTTGGCAACCAGTTTATACAATGTGCATCATAGTGACCAGCTTTGCATCACTGTGACTCACCATTTCTAAGACATAGAGGCAACAGTAACTATTACCTGGGCAACTAAGAAACTGAAGCATACAGGCAGCAGGTGGGCGGGGGCAGTGGCACACATTTTCTGTTACAATATGACCAGTATTTTATGCACTTTTTTGGGGGTTTTCTTGAGACAGGATCTTACTATGTTGTTTAGACTATCCTTAAACTTACTATGTAACCCAGGCTTGCGTCCACTTTGCCACGATCCTCCTGCCTCAACCTCCCAAGTGTTAGGATTATGGATGTGAACCACCATGCCCTGCATTACAATAACAATAATCTCGGGGGCTGGGGATTTAGCTCAGCGGCATAAGCGCCTGCCTTGCAAGCAGGCAGTTGTGAGTTCGATCCCCAGGACCGATAAAAAGGAAAAAAGACCAAAAAAAAAAAAAAAAAAAACAAACCACGTAACAATAATCTCAGGTGAAATGTCTGAGCAGTTTGCAAGATAAACATTTAAAAATTTACTATAGTGTGTTGCTTCTTTGATTTGTTCTCCTATTTTTCTTGGCTTGTTCATAAGGCTGCCAGTGAACATCCTCAGGAATTGAATAGTGTATTAGGAAGTACAAGAACAGGCTTTGCTACAAACATTCACAGGCCTCAGCATATCACCATACTCATAACCATGGTCTATATATGCAGAACACACAAGGCAAGGGCTAGGCACAATGACAGAGCAAGTGCTCCATATGCACAAGGGCCTGGGTTCGATCTAGCACCAAGACACACACATGCGTACGTACAGACAGACAGACAGACACACACACACACACACACACACACACACACGCACGCACATGCACAAATCAAAACAGCAAAGGGAAAAGGTTCATGGTGCAAAGTGGGGGAAAACCAGGCACAAGTCCTTTGCCAGTGGAATCAGAGAAGACATGCCTCACAGCTCCAGCAATTGAACTGTGATCATATACAAGAAAAGTCACCTACCAGGGAAACCTGTTAAGAGATAGAAGGCCCAGGGTTTTAACAGACTAGTCACAAAGGTTCCTTCTGGAATGTATCAAAATTCTCAACTCCCATGAGGAAAGCAAGTGTTCAGGACAAGCCACATTATACAATTAGGTGGGTCACACTGAGCCACTCTTGGCAGTGAGAGTGGAGGGGGCCCTCCTGACAGTTAAGCTCCCAGGGGGGTCAGCCAAGGACCAGTCTTGTCAGTGGGACTTTCTATGGATAACATGTCTGCTATGTTATTTTTCCTGCACACTGTGAGAATTCCAGAGGAATAATTGCCATAGATATTTTCAGATTTAAGAAGAAAATTTAGAAAGATGATTTTGAAAAAAAGACATAATAAAGAATTTCCTACCTGAGGAATGGTTAACTCATTTATGTTAATCAATACAGCCATAATTGTTTATATTAGTTTTCTGAAAAACAGATTAAGAATATATGAAAAACAGGAAAAATAAGTTTGGTCCTAATGAACCCTGGAATCTTGGTACTTCAATAAAAACAGGGCTCTTAACAGGGCATGGTGGCACTTGCCTATAATCCCAGCACTTGGGAAAGTAAGGCAGGAGGATCACTGCAGGTTTGAGACCAGCCTGGGCTACAAACTGAGTTCGATGCCAGCCTGAACTTCATGGCAAGACTCTGTCTCAAAAAGACAAAACCTAACCAAACCAAGCCAAACAAAACAAACAAAAAACAGGGCTCTTTTAGTACTGGTAGCAGCTAAGCATATATACCCATGTGACAATCCCCCAGAAATGCACTTCATATATACATATATATTAAAGTAAAAATAAAGACGATGGGCCCTTGGCATTAGTAGTTTAAATGTGAACTTTAGAAGTGAAAGGTAAAGAAGGTTTAACAATGTCATATTTATGAGCATAATTTTCTTCATCTAACATTTTGGGGATCCAAAAAGAAACTTCCTTTTGTTGTTCCCGCCACTTAAGTATATTCTCTGCTAGTTCCTCGGTCTCATTCACCAAAATATCCATTTTGGCTAAAGCCTTGCTCTGTAACATTTGAAAGAAACAAAAAATAGGAGAAATCTGTCATTAACTCATTATAATTTCACAAATGGTTGTAACTCCAAAAGTTATACCTGAACTTTTCTAGTCCCTTATTGCAAAATTCCCTTAAAATTGTTTTCTTCCTTGCTAAAGTACATACCCTCTCTTTGTGAGTTCATTTTTCCTTTATTGTCAGTCATCAACTCAACCTGTTGTTAAACCTGATGTTCTCAGTCCCATGTTTAAGTTCATGGACAATCTTCATCTAGATGTACATTCAATATCTCAGACTCCACAGCTCAGCAAACAACTAAACATTTACATATGTAAGACATAGCAAAAACTCAAGTTGGGCACAGTGGCACATGTCTGTAATCCCAGTACTCAAGAGGCTGAGGTAGGAAGGTGGCTGTGAGTTTGAGGCCTGCCTGGGCTACACAACAAGACACTGTCTCAAAATAAGCAAAAAAAAAACTGCATTACCTCGACAGAGTCCTTTGTCTACATAATGGCCAAGATCTAGAAATGTGACTTCAAAAATAGGGGAAAAAAAATCTATACAAGCCTTTGTATTCCTATATTTCTATATATTTTATGTGAGTCTTTAATGTGGATGACTATAATTAGTTTCTAGGTGTCTTTAATTCTCTAATTCAGAGCAGATCACTTATTTTATTTATTTTTTGGTACTGGGAATTGAATTCACAACCTTGTGTTTATCATGCAGGTGCTGTGTCACTGAGCTATACCTGGCTAGATCATATTTTAAAATGTGCTAATACAGGAATCACTCAAAGAATTTCTTTAAAATGTAGATTCTGATTTTGAAGGTTGAAGAAAATGAAGCCTACAATTCACTTTCTTTCTTTCTGTCTTCCTTCCTTTTCTCCTTACCTTCCCCCTTTTCTCCCTCTCTCCCTCCCTTCTTACCTTCTTTCTTTTTTGGGGAGTGGGGACAGTATTGGGAATGAAACCCTGGGCCTTGTGAATGCGAAGCAAGTGCTTTACAATTGAGCTCTGTAATTGTTTTTTTTTCTTTTCTTTTCTTTTTTTTCTGAGACAGGGTCTTGGTATATAGTTCAGGGTGGTCTTAAATTTACTATGTAGCTCAGGCTGTCCTTGAACTTGTGGCAGTCCTCCTGCTTCAGCCTCCTGAATACTGGGATTACGGGCATGTGTCACCATGCCCAGCAAGTCTTATAATTCTGCATTTTTCATGAACTTCCACATGATGTTGTTCTCTGTCCATACTTAGAACAAGGCTCAGTCTATTCTAATCAGTATTTTCTCCACACTTACAGCACAATTCTGACCAAGTTACTATTTTGTCCTCTTCACTAAAAAGTAAATAAAATAAATAAACAAACATTCAGCCAGGCATGGAGGGGTACACATGTATAATTTCAGCACTCTGACAGGTGCAGGCAGGAAGATCTTAAATTCAAACCCAGCCTAGGTAATTTAGTGACTTAATGAGATACTGTCTCAAGATAAAAAGAAAAAGCTAGGGATGGAGTTCAGGGTGAAGTTACTGCTCCAGGCTTCAGTGCCATCAATAAATGAATGAATGAATGAAATACTCAATAGCTCTGTAGTACAGTAGTAAAGTCTAAAGTTCTTGATCTGATTTTCAAGACATATCATAAATTAGCCCCAATTTCCTCAGGTAACTAAAATATCACTTTCTCCTCAAACTCTGACTTTCTTATCTTCTTCACATTGATACATTGGCCAAAAGTATTCTTTCTGATACAAGGTGAAATTTTACAATTCAGGATTCAGCTTTCCAAGATGGGTGTGGTAGCACATGCCTGTAATTCCAGCACTCAGGAATGTGAGGCAGGAGGATTGTTGCGAGTTTAAGGACATCCTCGTTACAAAGTGAGTTCAAGGCCAGTCTGAACTGTATAGTGCAACTCTATTTCAAAGAGACCAAAAGACGTGGAGGGCAAGACTCAGCTTTCCATTAATTCCTATATAAAACCTTTTGAACTCTCCCTCTACTCTATTCTACTCCCAATCCCTCTACACTGGAAGTAATCCTTCTTTTCTTTGTCCTCAATAGATAGCTTTTCCTTATGGACATTTAAAGGATTTTCCCTGTACTGAAGACTGACCCCAGGGACATTCAACCTTTTGAAAACTTTATTATGATACAGTCTTGCTAATTTGCTCAGGATAGCCTTGAATTTGTGAAGTAGCTAGGATTTTAGGAGTATACTATGGTACTCAAATACATCTCTTTATAATCAAATGCTGCACTTACATAAACACAGTCCTATAAAAGTACAAAGCATGGCTCTTCATGCTGTCTCATTAAACTAAGAACCCGAGGAAAGGATTCAAGGACATCTATCTTTTTTTTATTTATTTATTTATTTATTTTTTGTGGTACCGGAGATCGAACTCACGACCTCGCACTTGCCAGGCAGGCACTTATGCTGCTGAGCTAAATCCCCAGCCCCATCTATCTTTTATAATACATGGATCAGAGCCCTTGCATAAGAAGATTATATATTTTTACTAAATTCTGGAAAGAAAAAAATGTATTGAAATGATTTCTAAGTCAAGTGTGCTGGTGCATGCCTACCCATTCAGCATTCAGGAGGCTGAGGCAGGGTACCTAGGCTGTCTTCAAACTTGCTATTCTCTTGTTTTTAGCTTCCTGAATAGTTGGGATTCAGGCATGTAACATTGTGCCTGGCTACAAAAAACTTCTTGATTTTAAAAATAATGAGCTCATATATTTAGTGATTAAAAAGTTAAATGAAAGGATCACTGTTATGGCTTGTATCTAGATGTCCCCAAAGCTTCATGTGGTCATAGATGGTGCTTTTTGAAGGTGGGGTGGGGGATCTAAAATGTATGATGCTGGGATTAAGAATGTGTAATTACTAAATTAGTCCACTGACTGCTTTAGCATAGTGGATAATGAGAAGGCCCTCCCTTTTTTTTTTTTTTGTCTTTTTCGTTTTTATCGATACCAGGGATCGAACTCACGACTGCCTGCTTGCAAGGCAGGCGCTTATGTCGCTGAGCTAAATCCCCAGCCCCAAGAGAAGGCCCTCCCTAAGCATGGATGGCATCACCCAAAAGGCAGGTAGCCTAGAAGGGATAAATAAAAGGGAAGGGCAGGCTGCAGCTGTTGCTTGCTCCTTTGTTATATCCTGCCAGCCTATTTCTTCTCTGTGATGTCCTTTGCCATCCCACCCTGCCTTGGAACCAGCTGACTATGAACTGAAATCTCTACAAACTTTGAGCTGAAATAATTTTCTTTCTTTAATTTGTGGATTTTTTTTTTTTTTTTACCAAGGATTGAACTCACAACCTCTCACTTGCCAGGTGGTGCTTATGCTGCTGAGCTAAATCCTTGGCTCAAGGTGTTGGGCATTTTGTCTTAGCAACAAGAAATGTAACTAAGACAATAACACATTTTGAGATTCTAGTACAAGAGAATGAAATATAGTTACATTGCTACTCACCATTTTCTTTAGATTTTCATCTAAATGAGGGATATTTCTAACTGTTTCAAGATGGGTTTCCAATTTCTCAATGAAAGTCACAGCCAACTGCAACAAATGTACCATGTACCTAAAACATGGAGGAAAAAAATTCAGTATTTTTATGTTTATGTTTCTGTTACCTTATTTTTCCTTCAAGACTCTTTTTTTTTTGGTCTTTTTCTTTTTTATTGGTACTGGGGATCGAACTCATGAACGCCTGCTTGCAAGGCAGGTGCTTATACCGCTGAGCTAAATCCCCAGTCCTTCCTTCAAGACTCTTAATTTGTATTATTATTATTATTATTTTTTTGTCTTTTTCCTTTTTATTGGTACCGGGGATCGAATTCACGACTGCCTGCTTGCAAGGCAGGCACTTATGCCGCTGAGCTAAATCCCCAGCCTCCTTTTTTTTTTTTAATCGGTACTGGGGATCGAACTCACGACCACCTGCTTGCAAGGCAGGTGCTTATGCCACTGAGCTAAATCCCCAGCCCCTACTCTTAATTTATATTAAGAGAATTACAATCAGCCTAATGAGCCAATAACAATCTCCCTGTATTCACAAAAATACCAATGATAGGCTAACTATGGTGGTGCACATCTGTAATCCCAGCACTTGTGAGGCTGAGGTAAGAGAATTGCCATGAGTTCAAAGCCAGGTTGGGCTACGTAGTGAGTTTAAAGTTAGCTGAACTACAAAGAGAGATGCTGTCTCAAAATAATTAAACATAAAAAATAAAATAAATTTTTAGAGAGAGAGATTCTTCTCTACAGGCCTGGTAATAAATGTCTCTAATCCCATCCCTGCACTCTCAGAGGCCCAGGCAAGAGGATCACAAGTTCAAATCCAGTCTGGACAATTTAACAACTTAGTAAGATCTTGTCTTAAAATTAAAAAAAAAATTTTTTTTTCTGAGGATGTAGTACAACAGTCCTGGGTTCAATTCCCAGTACCACAAAAACAAAAGAGAAAAAGGGCTTTCTCTTTTCCTTTAAAAGCAGGACTTAACTTCTTATCCAAAAGAAAGAAAGAGACAGAAACCAGAAAGACAACATTAATCATATCTAGAATCCAACCTAATGTTAGATAACCCTCAATGGTAATAATTTTTTCATAAGGGATTTCTCTAGCTAAAACTTCATTCCATTTAAATGTACTCATTTTAAGACTGAATAGGATAAATATACTATATTGAAAATCTTCACATAAAGGTACATCAAATTTTTGGATTTGGAAAATGCTTTAAAATCATTATGCAGTTTTGTTTGTTTTTTGAGACACAGTCTCATTTTGTAGTTGAGGCTGGCCTTAAATTTACTATGTAGCCCAGGATGGCCTTGGACTTGTGCCACCAGCAGAGGCCCTCAGTTCTTCTCTGAAGTATATAATACTGTATATACATTAATGACCAAATATTGAATATAGCCAAAAGAACAAGGGTTACATTATTATCTTACTACAAAATAAAAAGTTCTGACATTTAAGAGACAATAATCCCAGCTACTCAGAGCCTATGATAGAAAAACAGTAAGTTCAAGGTCAACCTGAGCAACATAGCAAGACTGTCTCAAAAATAAAAAGAGCTCCAAATGGTGGTGTACACCTATAATTGTAGCACTCAGAAGGTGGAGGCAAGAGAATGCCATTAATATGAGGCCAGCTTGGACTACACAGTGAGTTCAAGACCAGCCTGGACTACACAGTGAGACCCAGTCACAAGTAAAACAGAAACAAAACCAAAAAAATCCTAAACTTTCAATTCGATCTATGTAATACACTAATGAGGAAGACAACAGAAACCATCCCATTCTATGGACTATAAAATTGAGGCAAAAGTTGAAAACATATGCCCAAGATTTTGAAGAAAATACACAACACAGATGAGATCAGCATTCAATTTTTTACTTCCCTATAGTTGACACTGTTTTGAGCTTTTCATGTTAAACACATCCAACATAATTTTATATATATGCAACATTAATTCAATAATAAATTTACTTCAAGAAAACAATCTATACATAAAAACTAATTTTTATCCACTTTGTTACATGTTTGGATTTAACTTTTTTCACTTAAGCCAAATTTATAATTTCCAGGGGCTGGGGATTTAGCTCAGTGGCATAAGCGCCTGCCTTGTAAGCAGGCAGTCGTGAGTTCGATCCTCGGTACCAAAAAAAGGAAAAAGACACACACACACACAGACAAAAAAATTTATAATTTCCAACACACGATGAGCAAAAGAAGTTCTTTTTTTCACCATAGCTACAATTCTTTTTTTTTTTTTTTTTTTTTTTTTTGGTACCATGGATCCAATTCATGACCTCATGCTTGCCAGGCAAGTGCTTATGCCACTGAGCCCATAGCTACAATTCTTTAATAACTGAGGATTTATAGGCTGGGGGTTTAGCTCAGCAGCATAAGGGCCTGCTTGGTAAAACATAAGGTTGTAAAAAAAAAGATTCTGAAGATTTTTTTTCTGGTTTATCAACAGTAATGTTAACAAATATAATCAGCAATACACTGTTTCATGAGTGATAGTATAAAGTAACTGCTAGTCTCACCAAAAACTACCCTCAGAAAACATGGAGAACTGCTCATTCCCACTCCAGAGGCTAACCTGTGGTAAACAGCTTCCACAGGTAAGTTTTCTTGGCACATGGGCTTCAACAGCTTTTGCCTGAGGGACCTCTTCTTTTTTAGCACTGCTTCCAGATGAGTATTGATGCTTTGCAGGGTGTGACACTTCTGAGCTACACAAATAAGAAATAGTGGTGACAGCACAGGGCAAGTAAATTTGTGATCCCCAATGCTTCCTCCTTCTTCTTTTTCTTTTTTTTTTTTTTTTTTTTTTTTTTTTTTTTTTGTCTTTTTCATTTTTACCGGTACCGGGGATCGAACTCACAACTGCCTGCTTGCAAGGCAGGCGCTTATACCGCTGAGCTAAATCCCCAGCCCCCGAATGCTTCCTTCTTAATAACAATGTTACAACTTAATGCAAGGCCAAGTACAATTACAGGCCAGGGCCTGTAATTCCAGCATTTAGAATATGGGGGGGAAAAAGACCCCTTCAGAGGAGGAGTTCAAATCAACCTGAGCAATACAGCAACACCAATGTAAAGGGGCTGAGGGTTTAGCTCAGCGGCACAAGCACCTGCCGGCAAGCCCAAAGTTCTAAGTTTGATCCCCATTACCAAAACCAAAACCAAACGAAACATCAACAAAAAAAGATCAAAGTAAGAAAAAATGAATCTGCAATTTCCCTCCTAAGTATCCCCCTCTTTGCCCACTCTTATCTCTTAATACCAGTACTAATTTCAAAAGCTTTCTCTCACTTTTCCCACTGACAAACAAACATAAGAGCTAAAGCCTATTTGTTTCTGAGCTAGAGATTTGTGCTATGTACCCCAGGCTGGCCTTGAATTTGTGCTAATCTCCCTGCTTCAGTCTCTAGTGCTGGGATTATAGGTGTGCCACTATGCCTCACTCTTACTCAATTTTCATAGCCAGAGCCATATTCTTCACATAAAGTCTCTTTTCCTATCCTTCCTCTAGTATCCTACATAGGAACATTAAAAAGTAAATCAGTTGGGCATGGTGGCACACGCCTGTCATCCCAGCACTTAGGAGGTTGAGGCAGGAGGATGGACAGTTTGAGGCCAATTTAGGCTACATAGTGAGTGTGAGGTCAGCCTGGATTATATAGCAAGACCTTGTCACAAACAAACATATAATCCAAAAAGTAAAACATAAATAAATAAAAAGGTAATCATACAAGTTACTTGTGATTATCATAGAATTGTTCCTAGAATGCAGTTAATGGTTGTCAACTTCCTCTTCTATAAAATTTAAATTTGAAGCCAGGCATGGTGATGCATGCCTGCAATCTCAGCACTCAGGAGGTTGAAGCAAGAGGATCACATGTTCAAGGCCAGCCTGGGTTATATAGTGAGACCCTATCTCAAAAACAAAACAAAAAAAAAAAATCTTTTCATTTGAAAAATTCAAACTTACATAAAAAGATTTAAAACATTCTATAAACTTCTATATACATTTCCCTTAGATGTATCAATTATTAACATCTAGCAACATTTTTTTCTTCTGATCTCACTCTACACTAGCACACATACAAACATATGAAACCTACCCTTTATTCTCAAAAAGATTCATTTTAGCTTATGTTGCAGACAGCAAGATCCTTTACCCTTAAGACTTTAGCATGTCTTTTGCAAGAACAAGAACATTCTCTTATATATACAGTACCATCTAGCACATTATTAAAATCTGAATTTTTTTTCAAAAAATTTAACATTGACACAATGTTACTACTATTTATTTATTCATTCATTTATTTTACTTTATTTTTTTGTCTTTTTCCTTTTTATTGATACTGGGTATCGAACTCACGACTGCCTGCTTGCAAGGCAGGCGCTTATGCCGCTGAGCTAAATCCCCAGCCCAATGTTACTACTATTTAATACGGGCCATATTTAGATCAAGTGTCCCCAGCACTTTTTTTTTTTACTGAATATACAATCCATAATAAGACAATGCTTAAACTGTCAGGCTATATTAATCGCCTTTCGTCTGGAAAGTTCTTCACCCTTTCTTAGTCTTCTGTCTTCTCTTGACTCTGGGGAGCGGAGTTGAATAGGCTAGAGTGCATCCCCATGGAGGTCATGTGTTAGGGACTTGTGTGTGAGGAGTGCAGTTCTCAAGGTGGTAGTGTTGGAAGGCTGCACGGAACCTCTGAGAGGTAAGGATTGGCAGGAAGCATTAGGTCAGGAGGAAATTGCCTTGGAGAAACCAGCGTAGTTCTGGGACTCTGGTTACTGGTCAGTTATGAAAGAGCCTAGCCCTTGAATCATTATCTGGCTTCCTGTCTTGCACATATCCTTTCTCTCTTGCAAGCACTCTCTCTAGCACTGTGGCACCATCCACCTTACCAGGGCCAGCTGATGCCATGCTCTTAGTCCTCCAGACTGTGTACTCACTAAACCTCCTTTTAAAAATATATTTTGAAACATCAGATGTTTTGATAAAGCAATAGAAAATGGATTAATATGGGAGTCAGCTCAGTCATATTTTAGACTATTTGTACTAGCCAAGTCAGCAGGACTTGTATTTGTGCAGAGAAATAGAATTTTGTGTGTGTGTGAGTCTTTTTGGACAGAGTCTTGCTATGCAGTTCAGGCTGGCCTTGAACTCACAGCCCTCTTCCTACTTCAGCCTCCTGAGTGCTGGGATTACAGGCGTATGCCACTGAGAACTAGAATTCTTTAGGAGCTACAAGGCAATATCTGGAACAACTTCAGCACAGCAAAATTTTGCTACAGTAATCCAAGAAAAAGTTGAAATTCCAATGATTATGAGCTTAACCAAACCACTTACCCAAATACAAAGGATGAACAACATCTGCTGTTTCTTTCTCTAGTTCCAGAAGTTCAATTTCCAGGCTTTTCTTCATTAGCAACAAAAGTAGTAACATTCAGCTTACTCAGAGAGTATCATGAGGCTAAAGGCTCAAGCACTGTTAAAACTGCAGCACTGGGCACCACCCTACACAGAAGCAGTCCCTGTGTCACTGCTACCCCCCTCCACCCTGCTCCCATCTCATGTTGTCTGCTCTGACTAGCTGTATTTTCCCTGCCCTAGTCTTGTTCATTAACAAGTACAGGAGTCCCTGAAATGGGGGAGAGGGAGTTAGTTGCAGTCAAGGTTCCTGGGGCACAGGAAACAAGGCAGTGGGTAGACAAGTCAGAACATATAGCACCCTACAGGCCCCACAGAGGTCTCAGATTTCCCATGTGTTCAGAATGCGACAGTGCTGGGATCTAAATTTCATTTTTAAGAAGCTCTCCACAGCCAGGTCTGGTGTCACACACTGTACTCCTGGCACCTTGGGAGGCTGAGGCAGTAGGATCACAAATTTTAACCCAGCCTGGGTAACTTACCAACTTAGCAATGCTCTAAAAATTTAAAAAAAAAAAATACGGGTGGGGTATAGAGTTCAGTGGAAGGCCTTGGGTTCAATCCCTGGTAGCAGATGTATGTAGGGGAGAGAGGTTCTCTCTGAAACCAGGCATGGTGATATACATCTGTAATCTTTTTTTTTTTTTTTTTCTTGTTGAGATGGGTCTGCCTGTGTAGTTGTGTAGTTCAGGTTGGTCTTAACTCACTATGGAGCCCAGGCTGGCTTCAAACTTACAGCAATACTCCTGCCTCAGCCTCCAAATGCTAAGATTACAGGCAAGCACCACCATACCTGGCTACACTTGTAGTCCTTGCACTCAGGGAGGATGAGGCAAGAGGATTGAAAATTCAATACCATCCTACTCACACAGGCAGGCCGCCTTGTGATGGAAGATGATTTACCTATATAGGAGCCCAGGTGATTTAACAAAGCTTTTCATTTTAGTGCTATTGCCTTCCTGTCGTTACTGTTATGTCTTACTAATTTACCCAAACTGGGCTTAAACCTGAGATCCTTTTGCCTTAGCCTCCCCCAAAGTGCTGGGACTGCAGGCATATACCACTATGCCTACCTTGTTCTATTTTAGCCAAGAATCGAACCCAGTACCTTACACATGCCATGCATCTGCACTACTATTGAATACCCCAACCTAAGTATTGTGTTTCTTTCCCTGTAGAAATAGGGTGTAAACAGTTCAACATAAATTACCTGGTAGATTTCAGCTTGAATATTTGTAGTCTGCTGTAGTTTGGAGAAGTTCACAAAGCAAGGAGCCGATTTCTTTGATATGTTTAACATTTCCTATTGGTACATGAACATGAAAGTAAGATGATGTGACAGAAAGTTTCTGTGTATGTTGGAATAGCATGCCCATAGGACTAAAGAAGACATTATGCCCAATCCTGGCCCTGAACATGAAATACAGAACAAAACAGCAACAGGGGATATTTCCTGTTTGTAAAATCTTTATTGTCACAAAGGTGTTGCCAGAATGTTTAAAAAGTGAGAAATAGAGAAGACTATTGGTATTATTTCCTGAAGCCTACAAGCTAGTCCTAGATAAAATGAGCAAAAAATAAACATTACTGCAAGCTTCTATGAAAAAGGGGAAAGACAGCAGAAGACTTTGACTGCTAACAAAAAGAAAGTTGCACTTAAAAGAAAATACCTACTTAAATTATGCGTTCACTGCCACAGGAGATTTACATTCTCCAAGCCTGCTTTGTATATGTGGAGACTGCTATCCAGGAAAGCCATGAAACCTTTAAAACATCTTTATCATACGGAGACCAAGTACTCTGCATTAAATAAGCTTTTGGAGTATCTTAAAAACAACAATAACAACAACAACAAACCACAAACACGAAGCACAGAAACAATTAGTCAAGGCTACCACTTCACCAAATGTATCTACACTGACAGCAACATTCTTAGTGCTTAACTGCACTGCTAAAGCTAAGTCTTTAACTATGGGTGAAGAGTTGGTCCTGGCTGCTGCTAAGGACCTATGTGGTAAACTACAGAAGAGGTTGTAGTTCAAAAGATGGCATGTGCTCCTTTTTCTGTTAGCACAGTAACAAGATGGACTGATAAAGTAGAAGATGTTGAGTCACAGACATTAGAAAGTGTTGAGTCATAATACAGGTTGATAAGTCTACCAGTAACAAGGCAACAATACTTGCTTTTTCGAGGATGTGCATGGATGAATGTTATATGTGCTTTTGGTACAAACTAACTCCACAACTGCAGAATTAGTCAAGTCTTTGAATGATTACATATCAGGAAAACCAAACTGATCACTTGGGCTGGTATTTGCATAGACAGAGTGGCTGCCATGACTAAACAGCTTTCTGGTTTCATTACTCAGGTCAAAGAAATCAATTCTGACCATAAGTCTATGAACTGTGTCATTCATAGTGAAATACTGGCTAGCTGAAAAAATGAACTTAACATTCTCCAGATTTTTTTTTTTTGGTTTGTTTTTATTTTTAGTTTAATTTAAAAAAAAATTTTTTAACACCAAGTACATTTATTAGAAAAGAAGAAAATTATGCTCATATCTTTTCCTTGAGAAATTAAAAATAAAAGATAGACTAAAACAAAAAACAAATAGAAGAAAATAATAAAGATCAAAAAACACAATCCCTTATCAAACTGCCACTTCACTTTTCATAAAGATTAACATTTTGATTCTTACGTTTCTATAAAATTAAGACTCAGAACAGTCTAAAAAACTTTAAAAGGAACAACCTTTAAAGGAACAAAATTAGAGCTCCAACCCTCCCCAATCCCACAACTTAATCACAAAATTACACTAATCATGACAAAATGGCATTAATATCAAGATACACAAACCACCAAAGTACCAAAATAAAGTCTCAAAATAGATACCCACATAATAGACAATTGATTTCTGGCAAAGATGCAAAAGCAATTAAGTGGAGAAAGGATTGTATCCTCAGTAAATATACTGGGACAACTGATATCCACATGCAGAAAACCCAAACCTTGTAGCACATCAAAAATTGCTTAAGACATTCAAAAGTTGGGCTGGGGATTTAGCTCAGTGGCATAAGCGCCTCCCTGGCAAGATGAGGTCATGAGTTCAATTTCCAGTACAAAAAAAGAAAAAAAAGACATCCAAAAGTCAACTCAAAATGGCTCACAGTGGGTTAGTTAAAGTAAAGGAAAGTGTGGCCTGAGTCACTGCTAGGCTGAAGTCATTCTCTGTGGGACAAAATACATGTTTTTTTCCTTATCATACTAATGAAACAACATGATGTTTATACATGCGTGATATATTTCACTAATAAGTGTTCTCAAGGTGTATCCATTTACCTATAAAAATGTCCACTTTATCATTCTTTGACTGAGTAGTATTTCATTATATAAAAATACAGCATCTTTTTTAACCATTTCTCAGTGGATGGGAATTTAGGTTGTTTCCAAGATCTGGATATTATAAACTATGCTGCTAGAAACATAGGTGTACATATATCATTGTGATATGATGTTCTTAATTCTTTTAGAAAGATAACCCAGAAGGGTTGAATGGGAACTCTAGTCCTAGTTTTTTGAGGAATATCCACATTGATTTCTACAGTGGTTGTACCAGTCTGCGTTCCCACCAACAATGGAAAAGGGTTCCTTTTTCTCCACAGCTCCTCCAGCATTTGTTATTGGTTGATTTCTTAATACTAGCCATTATTTCTGGGGTGAGGTAAAATCTCAGTGTCGTTTTAATTTGCATCTCTCAAATGACCAGTGCTGTTTAACATTTTTTCACGTATTTATTTGCTGTTTGTATTTCTTCATCTGAGAAGTGTGTATTCATCTCAGATGTTCCTTTTTGGATTGAGTCTTTAAATCTGGAAGGTCTGATTTTTTGCATTCTTTGTAAGTTTTCAATAGTAACCCTTTATCTGAGGAATAGCTGGCAAACATTTTCTCCCACATTGTGGGCTATCTCTTCAGTTGGTGGTTTTTCTTGCTGTGCAAAAGCTTTTTGGTAGGATAAGATTCTAGTTGTTGATTCTTTGTGATAGTTCTTGTTCAGTCAAGAGTTTTGTTCATGAAGCCTACATGAATATCTTCAAAAGTTTTACCTATTCTATCTTCCAACATAGTGGTTCTGTTTTAATATTAAGATCTTTGATCCATTTTAATTTTAACAGTGCATGGTGAAAGATATGGGTCCAGTTTTCTTTTTTTTGTACTGGGGATCCAACAATTCATGATCTCATGCTTGCCACGCAGGTGCTTATACTGCTGAGCTAAATCCCCACCCCTATGGATCCAGTTTTAACCTTTGGCATATGTAAAGCCAGTTTTTCCAGCACCATTTATTGACATCTTTGTCAAAAATAAGATGGCTTAGTATGTCTGAAGTTATTTCTGCATCTTCTAATCTGTTCCATTGATCTTTGGGTCTGTTTTATTTTTTGCCAGTACCACACTGTTTTTATCACAGTAGCTTTATAGTATAATTTCAAGTGAGGGATTATGATATCCCCTGTCTTGTCTGTGTTGCTCAGGATTACCTTTGCTATTCCAGGTCTTTTCTGGTTCCACATGAATTTTAGGATTGTTTTCTCTAATTTGGTGAGATATGTTACTGGAATCTTGATTGGTATTGCATTGAATCTGTATAACAGCTTTGAAATTTTGAAATGGCCATTTTTACTATATTGGAGACACAAAATATCTCTCCATTTTCTAATATCCTCTTCAATCTCCCTTTTCAGAGTACTACAGTTTGCAATGTAGAGGTCTTTGTTAGATTGACACCTGGGTATTTCATTTTTTTTGGATGCTATTATGAAAAGTATTGTTTCCCTGATTTCTCTCTCAGTGAGTTATTCAGGTATAGGAAGGCTATTGATTTTTAAGTGCTGACTTTGTAATCAGCTTCATTACTGAATTTGCTTATTAAATCTAGAAGTCTTGGTGGAGTTTTTGGGGTCGTCTAAGTAGACTATCATGTCATCTGAAAATAACAACAGCTTAACTTCTTCCTTTGTTTTGTTTTTGGTACAGGGGATCCAAACTCACAACTTTGTGCTTGCCAAGCAGGCACTTATGCTGCTAAGCTAAATCCCTGGCACTTCTTCCTTTCTTCTCTTTATTCCTTTTATTTCTTTCTCTTGTCTAATTGCTCCAGCTAAAGTTTCCAGGACTATGTTGAATAAGAGTGGAGACAGTGGACATCCTTATCTTGTTCCTGATTTTCAAGAGAAAGCTTTCAGTTTTTGTCCATTTAGTATCATGTTGGCTGTTGGTTTGTCATAGATGGGCTTTATCAGATTGAGATAAAGACCATCTATTTCAATTTTCTGTAGAGTTTTCATCATGAATGGGTGCTGAACTTTGTGAAAAGGTTTTTCTGCATCTATTAAGATGATCATACAATTTTTGTCCTTGGCTCTGTTAATATGATGTATTACATTTATGTATTTACATATGTTGAATGATCCCTGCATCCCTGGGATGAATCTCACTTGATCATGGTGTATAATCTTCTTGATGATTTGTTGAAATCTGCTTGCCAGTATCTTATTGAGGATTTTTGCATCAATGTTCATTAGGGAGATTGGCCTGTAATTCTCTTAGTTGGGTCCTTCTCTGGTTTTGGAATCAGAGTAATGCTTGTTTCCTGGAATGAATTTGGGAGTACCACTTCTCTTTCAATTTCATTTTAAAGAGTTTGAGAAGTAGTGTTAATTCTTCACTAAATTTCTTGTAGAATTCAACAGTGACTCCATCAGGGCCTGTATTTTCCTTTGTTGATAGGTTTTAATTACATTTTAAATTTCATTTATTGATATCAGGTTTTTCTGTTTGAGACAGGGTATCACTATGTAGTCCAGGCTGACTTCAAATTTACGGTAATCTTCCTTCCTCAGCCACACAAGTGCTGGGATTATAAGCATGCACCACCATTCTCAACAGTCAGAATATATTTAAATTTAGCAACCATGTCAAAGTACAGAAAACTGTTTCCGAGTGCCAAAAAAGTTGGCAATACCTGCTAGAACCAATAGCAAAACAAAACAAATGAGGAAGGAGCAAAGATGGCAGATAGATAACAGCTGGCTACAGAGGCTACCTGAGATAGTCAACTTAAAATTCAACATAATATAGCGTGGGGAGCTCTGAACAGAGGGAGATGAATTTTCTCGTCCCAAGAAGAAACTAAGGTGAGAAGAAACAATCAAACATACAGTACTGGTGCTATTATTGGAACAGCTAAAGATTCAGTGCTCCCGCCACAGTGGGTGACTTGCCGAGCCGTCCGAGGTCCC